GCCGTGGAGAACTTCCGTTTTAGCTGTTGACTGATGATGAAGGTTGATGAAGGCCGTGGACAACTTCCGTTTTAGCTGTTGACTGATGATGCAGGCTGATGAAGGCCGTGGACAACTTCCGTGATAGCTGTTGACTGATGATGAAGGCTAATGAAGGCCATGGACAACTTCGTGATAGCTGTTGACTGATGATGAAAGCTGATGAAAGCCGTGGACAACTTCCGTTTTAGCTGTTGACTGATGATGAAGGTTGATGAAGGCCGTGGACAACTTCCGTTTTAGCTGTTGGCTGATGATGAAGGCTGATGAAGGCTGTGGACAACTTTCGTGATAGCTGTTGACTGATGATGATGAAGGCTGATGAAGGTCATGTACAAGTTATATGGTCGCCAACATACGATTGCATACAGAACTATGCTTTTTCTTTGTTTTTTATGAAGGGAAGGTTTTTATGAGTTCGCCTGTTGTTTTGTTTTCACTACCTCAATGCTTGGTATGGGGACGCGGTATTACTCGGATTTGACCTAAACTGTCAAGACGGCTGTGGTCGACGAAGCAGACGACGCTTGCCTTTCCGGAACTCCCTCTGCTTTTGTACTTTTTCCATGTTCATCTTTCATTTGTTCATAAGTTGCCCTCACTTTTTCGGTTTTAATGAAACATGGGTTTTCACTTGTTGAGTTGTTTGCATTATCATTCTTTATCGACTTCGATTCAAATTGTGTTCTTGTGTGTTATGAAACAGTTTACTTTTCTACTGTACTTACATACTAATTATCAAACAGAAATAAGAAAATCATTCGAGAAATTCAAGCTCAATAACATGCTCTAGTCTAACCACGCACTTGTTCAGAGAGAGTTTAACTACCAGAACTAGAAACAAACCAAACAAAAACTAAGACAAAACTACTTACACCATAGAGAACCGCCAACGGAAACATAATAAGAACTAGAACAGAGATAGTTTAACACTGGGACACTTATTGGTACATTTATACTTTATAATTAAAATAAAATGGGTTAAAAAGATATCATAAGATAACATTATGATGACACTTTTCACCTGTCACCCTCGATATTCGAGGGGTTACGCCTACTTTCGCTCTCTACACCCCTAGAATATGTCATAGCAAAATTGAAGGCACGCGGCTGTTACGTTTGTTGGTCCCGGGTAACAAAACCTTGATCAATCGCTGGACTAACACGTGTATCGACACCCGACT